CCGCGTGGCGGGATCCCGGCCTCGCGCCCGTCCGGGTGCTGTTGTTGCGGGGGCTCCTTTTCGGCGAGGTGAAAAGCTAAGGCCCCGACTGCTTGTGGTCGTGTCGGCGCCTCGCCACCTCGCTCAGGAGCTGGTTTATCTGACAGGTGGACATGTTGCAGCAGCCGGTCAAATGGCTCGTGTTGGTATAACGTAAGGTGCCAGGGACGCTTTGCTTTACCGAGTACCTGTCTTTGTCACTTGATCTCACAACATCTGGTTTTCTTTAAAAGCTTTTAGAATAGTTTTCCCGGTAGCGGGTAGGTGTGTATTTACAGAAAACATTAGACACGATACATAGCTGTTTATGGGAATAAACCCATAAGATATGTGAGATCTTGCTTAAGTAGAGTCTGGAAATGCTAATCTGTCTGTCACGGTGACTGGTGGCTGACGTTCTCATATCTACTTTTCTCAAACGTTGTTGAGGCAAGCAGATAACGTAGCACTAGCTCCCTGTTTCCGCTTGCTAACCGTTGTTGGAAGATGTTCTCCCATACGTCACATCGCATCGCCATACTGCCCTGACGTCCAGACCTCTGTGCCACGTGGCTCTGTTGTGTTTTGTGCAGCTTTTAGTACTGCGATCTCCTGACATACAGTGTAATAGAAGCTATTCTGGCTCAGTATTGCCAGCTCTCATGACTTTTGGTGGTGTTCTTAAAGTCTGCTTTGGGAATGTGAAAAACTTAGCTCTTTCTTAGGCATGTAAACATAAATATATATAAAGGAAAAACCTAAGTTTTTCACATTCCTGAAGCGTAGACTTTAAGAGCAATGCCAAAAATCATGAGCATTGGCAATACTGCCTGGCATCACCTGCAGTCATTTTTAACTCAACAAGGGACCCAGCTCGCTCTCACGGGGTAGTGGAGCTGCCAGGACTCTGCAATGAGGACCCGACCTGGAGCAAGCATCTGGGTCAGGTTGTCCCATCTTAAAGAGCAAGATGAGGTTGGAAAAGACGAGGGCTGAGAAGCAGGAGGGTCTCCTGGGCAGTGTGTAGCCTGCGAGCGGTGGGTGACGAGCGCTCCTTGGGCTGAGCAGTGCACGGAGATGTGGTGCAAGAAAAGGGCTGGTGCTACTCTAAAGAGGCGTTAGGACACAGTGTAAACTGAACTCCATAGCATAGCAAGAGGATGAGGGGAAGCCATCAGCCATTAAATTCTGCTGCACATAGAAAACTAAAAGAACTCGCTGCCACCGGCAATCAGTGTCAAGTACAGTAAGCATTTTGTAAAACTGCTGGGTAACTTCATAAGCAAGCTCATCATTAATAGTTGTGTGCTAAGAGGAGCTGGTCAAGCCTGGTCCTTAAGAGCGGAGGCTCGTTGTGGCAGAGCTGGAATGAACTCTCAGAGTGCGGCATAGGACGGGGGCCAAGGTCCAGGATGGGGCTGTGTGATGGGAGGAGATGCGATTTCCTGAGGTGCATCCCAGCTCAGCAGACCTGTTGTCTCTGCAGGGGAATGGTAATTGCCCTTGGATTTGCCATCTGCAGTTTGTAAAGACCTTTGACCTCTCCAAAACATGTCTAGTGCAGTGCCCAAGAGATTCTCTTACGCGGGGTGTGGAGAAAGGGGTGGCACCATGACAAGGAATGAACCTAGGGATACAGTCATCAGCCTTTTACTCACATGTTTGTAAACTTAGCAGCTAATTGGCACTGCTCTCTCTAATACTTTATGTTCAGCCTGGGATTTTTAAGACTCTTTAATTGACTGAATATGACTTTCGTGACATGCTTGGCTTTGAACTGCTGCCCAAAATCTGATGCAATTGGCAGACTGACTGTCTGGGCAAGAGTCTTGTAGCATGGTGATGTCAGCTGTCATCACTCTTCTGTAGCTGAGGATAATCTAAGGCTGGTCGTGGGCAAGGAAGAAAACAGGAGGTCGTGTTAGTGATGGGATGAAACTACTTAGCTCCTCTGTTAGTGGCTGCGGATGCTCGCTGTTCTCCGCGTAGAAGTGTCCGTGGCGCCCGGCATTCTCTGCAGTAGTCTGAGGGTGGGACCTGAGGCAGATGGCACCAGCCCCGCCAAGGAAGAAATCCTTGTAGATTGTTTGAAGTCTTGTCTGGTGTCTGCTTTTTTTTTAAGCATGTTTTCCTTTCAAGAAGAGGCTTAAGGTTTTCAGTTTGATTTTTGTCTGCCTTCCTCCAGTAGCTCAAGCACAGCAGAGGCAAGGCCTACAGAATGATCCCTGTAGGAAGAAAGCAGTTGTTCCTGCCAGAAGTGCTTGGCCTAATTGGGCTCTTTGGTCACAGTCAGTTCTGTCAGGCTAATGAAAGCTGTGGGTCTCTAGAAACTCTGAGATGCTGCTGTTACAGGAGATTCTGCCTACCTGGAGAGCTGTTTTGCTGCATTTGCTACCAAACGGCATCATCAAAATGGTATCCATGTTAAATTAGAAGGCTGCTTCCCTGCCAGGACCTGGTGATCTCAACCAGCGCGCTCACCCTCTCTTCACACCGCAGTCAATGACGGACTTACCCGTAAGGAGCAATCAGTTGAGAACGAAAGAGAAGCTTGGCAGCGGTGAATGTGAGCTGCTAGAATTCAGTAGTTAGGTCCCTAAAACGGGATGTTCTGAGGATGTCTGATCTCGAGAAGTCAACTAAGGAAAACCCAGTGGGAAGAAATGTTAAGAATGAAAATAGCTTTGCCTGGTCTATGATGGAAAAACTATTTTTTTTGGAACTACCAGGAATCTCAAAGTCTTCCAAGTGGTCTCTACTTATTCGCACTTTGGGAAGTTCCCATGAAGTGTAAAAACTATCTGGAGGGCAGTGTCTGCTACAGCTGCATGAGCATCCCCTCATGGTACTGACATTGGAGAGCAGGGTTATAAAAAGTCCATGTGCTCCTTCTCTCCACAGCTCCCTGCAGGTGTTAAGGATGGTTCAGTTCTGAGCACAGAGCACTTGATGAGGTTTTGATCAAACAACTTTAATCTTTGGTGTGTTGAAATCTGGTAGTTGGAAGTATTACATAATTCCATGTTATGGGCAGTCTTAAGATTTAAGATCCTCTGTCCTGTTGATAAGAGCTGATCAGGTCTCCACCTGGTTGATTGAGGGAGCTGGGTTGGAGCTGTCTATTGCTCCTCATGTCCCTTGAGGTACATTAAAGCCAAAAGGCTTTTCTTAGCGACTTCTGCAAGTCCCTTCCTGCCCCTGCCCACCCAGACCCACACTGCATAGACCCTGTGCTGCACAGAGAGCCCTCCACAGAGTCCAGGGAGAGGACAAGTTTCACAGAAGCACTCAAGTGTTTCTTGTCTGTTATGCAGCATGTGAGGGACGCACAAGATTAAGCTCATCGCATGGCAAAGGTCAGGGGAAGCCATGGCTAGGAGTCATCCTTGCTAGCATGGAGCCATGCTGTCAAGAAACCAGGAATCTCTTGAGGGCCAGAACTTTGCTGGAGCGCAGAGCGCCTCTGCAAGTAGCACAGGATCAGCCAGGCTTGGGGGCACTGTTTCATGTGAAGGGGAGGACGGCTGACTTCCTCTTCCTCTCCCTCTCCCATGGGAGGATACAGGGGATTCTCCATAAGGTTTCCCTAATGGAGTTTCTTTGCAGGCAGTCTCCTCCCAAGGCTTCGTTGCGGAGGGAAGGCTTTGGGCCCCTGTGCTCAGACGAGTCTTGCTGTATCTGACAGTGCGCACATGTGGAGAAACTCGACTCTTGTGCCCTGGGTGAAATCTGAGGGCTTGGGGATGCTGCACGGCTGGTGTGAGGGTGTGGATGGAAGGCATGGCTCCACCAGAGATGGTTCTAAGTGCAGCGTTTCACAGTGTTGGATGTATGCTGGGGGGCAGCCACTGAAGGAAGCGCTGTTGATTTGGCTTTGTGGGTCTCTAACTAGATGCAGCGGTAGACTGAAATCCTGACAACTCTCAGCAGAAGTTATTTACGTTGTATTACAAAGTAAACCCTTCAGTCCATGTTAGAGCTTCAAAAATCCAGCCTGAAAACTGCTCTCATCTTTGCGTCTCCTCCAGCTGCTTTCCCCTCCTCTTTCAGAGGTGGGGGTGTTGCAGCCAGTGAGAGGAGAAGTGCATGCTTACAGTCACTACTTTGTAAGGCTTGCCTGTTCATGGGAGAGTTGCCTGAGGGATATTTGTTCCCTGTATTATATCTGGGACCTGGAATTAGGAGTACCCTTACAGCCTTGTATCTGGTGAGACCGTCTGGAACAGAGAACAAACTCAGAGAGTAGTGTCAGGAGACTACTTTGTGATCCCAGTCTGTGAGGTTTAGAATGACGCTGGCTGCTAGTCAGGAACTTAAAGCCTCAACTGGAGGCCAGGGGTGCAAGTGAGAGCCCTGCCGGTGAGGGTGTGTCTGTATGGGGTGAGGCTGTGCTCTGCCGAGACACACTGCACCTGCTCTGCATGTGCTGGCTCCCGAGGTAGAAGCAGCGTAGCCTTGTTAGCGCAGCACCAGGGGCATGTCAGTGAGCCCTGCTCTTTGGAGAGCTGGGTACATGCACAGTGCCTACTTGTACCATGGCATAACTCAGTGTGGTGTTGCCTTTGCTTCCACCCACATGACTTGGGAATGATGGTACCCATGTGCACCTCACTGGGCTGGCCTGGTTTCTGTCCTTCAAGGATGAAAAATGCCAGGTTTGTTCAGGATTGGGAGGGTCTCGAGGTGGGTGCAATGTGGACATGTCTTACTGTGAAGATGCTGAGTCTGTTGCAGCTCTGGTCTAATTGGGTGGATCTTCCTTACAGGTGCGGATTGCACTGCAGCTGGACGACGGCTCCCGTTTGCAGGACACCTTTCACTCTAGTCAGACCCTGTGGGCCCTCCTCCAGCATTTTACACAAAGCAGGTAAACGACGAGCGTGCAGGTTGGAAAGTGCTTGTCCTCAGGCAGACTCCTGACTCGGCAAAAGGGCTAGAGTTACTGCTGTTCAAGGGACACAGTCCGAGTTCTCAGACTTGCAGCACTAGCACTATTTAATTGTATTCCTCACCACCTGCACTGCGTTCGTGTCTTTTTAGCTTAGTCAGTGTCCCCTTGTTGTTCGTCTTTCTGTCCCTGATGGCCTGAATGCTGGATGATGTTTCCCCTTGGACATGTTACTGTAGGTGTCCCTTGTAGGGATTTTTGTTGAAATGCTGGCTGCCATCAGAGACAGGCCGACTTCCGAGGGTCTGCTTGGCTGTCTCAGATGTCCTTACGTAAGGCTCTTCGTTGGACAAGCTGCTGGTTTTCTATAGGTGATTCAGGGAAGCCCGGAGCCCTTGTAGCCTGAAGTGGCATTTTCAAACCATTGATTAGGTCCTGTTTAAACTTCCTGCCTGTTCCTGCTCCTACTTTGTCTGTACCTAAATACACTGGCTAAATGTTTTTGCAAGGCTTACAAAGTTTGGTTTGTTTGCCTCCACTTTGCTACAATCTATATTTGGTGCTTCCTTCTGGCTTTCCTTGACTTAAAAATGCCGCTATTGTTTGGAAATGTCAAACTAATAAACCGTGCTCCAAGGTCAGTTCTTCTCTTTGGTTTTCTTCTTTTGTGGCTTTGGAAAGCTTGAGGTTCTTGAGGCAACAGCAAAAAGGGGACGTCAGCTTCCTTGTTTTAGTAGGATTTTACCTACCCTGATGATGCAATGTCCATGTCTGTTTAGCTCATTCTCTCTCTTCTCCAGTCCTCACCTCCTGCTTTTTGCTGTTGGCTGTTTCTAAGACGAGTGGAGAACTTTTGTAGCTCTTACTCTATGGTGCAGATGTTGTGGTGCAGTGTTTGTCACTAGCAGGTGATACTGGTGGGGTTGGGGGGTTGGTACCAAATCACTTAAATACCCATTCAGAAATCAGTGACCCACTGTCATGCCAAAGGCTCCTGGAACTCTGGCACTAGGCGGAGGAGGTGTGGAGAGAAACAGGCAGAGAAGGCACTCAGCCTGGCTGCCTGTGGGTGAGAGGAGGAACGACTGAGGAGTCCAAGGATATGATGGAAGAAATTGAGACAGGCCCTGGCAGGGGCTGGATTTTCCTGATTCTTGTGTTGCTATGTTTGCTGTAGCTGCAGCTGTAGGAGAAAGTGGCCCCTGCTAGCTGCTGTGCTTGCAGACTTGCAGCAGCACATGCACTGGCTTAGATGCATTGGGCCTTAGAGTAGCAGAGAGCATCTGTTCACAGCATCATGGCCTTTGGAGTGGAAGGCTGTGTCCCACCTGGACAGTCAGAGTGCAGGATCGTTCCTTTGCCATCCAGTGGCCAGGAGCACTGAGAGTTTGCTTGTGTCTTTTCTGCCTGCTTTGTTAAGGCCTGAGAGATTGCATGGCGTGCACAGCCGTGGAGAGCTAGCCTTTAGTGTCAGCTCCCAGCTGCACTGGTTCCAAGGAGAAGCAGGCATTGCTCCTCAGGCATCTCCTTGTGTATCTGGACTGGCTGGGACCTCCTCGCCTAAGTATTTCATGAAGGTATGGTCCCATCGTGCAGGGCCCGCAGTGATCCTGCCATCCCATGGTTGTCGGTGGCAGCAAAGCCCGTTCCTGTATCTTCTGTCACGTGGTCCCAGGGTCCTCTTTGGAACAGCCTGTTTGCCATTGACTTGTTTGGCAGTGCTGCCGCTGAAGGCTGTGTCTCTGTGGGGTGGCTGATTGCCCTTCATAGTGCTGTCATCTGAATGGCTTGCACCTGAACAGCCGTGGCAGGTCTCACCTTCCTGGCAGAGCAGCCACCCCTGCTCATCCCCAGTGTGCATCTGAGTCTTGTGCACGCCTGGTGACCAGCCTCCTCCTCAGACTTACCAAGCTGTTGCTGCTCGCGTCGTCTGCTGGCGGAGCTGTGTTCTGGCCCTGCTCCAATCTCTGCCAACCCCTCAAACTTGGGTGCCTTGTGTAAAAGGTGGCCAGCTGAATGTGCTTGTTTCCCCTCATTACTGATTGCTTTTTAGTCTTGAATGTTGAGTCTTATAATCAAGAGGTAGCCTTAGTGCTCTTGGACATAAAATCCTAAGCTGCCTGAGCCCTCTCTGTCTTTGCTCATGGCACTGGTCTTATCGCTGTCACTCGTTGCAGCTTTGCGTGATTTTTCCCCGGATATATGGAAGGTGTCTTTAGACAAGAAAATGTCTTGTCTCAGAGAGAATCCCTTTGAAGAGCCTGTGCTCCTCTTCACGACTCCCCCAGAAGAGTTTGGAGCTGTTGCTGTGATAGGTGCTCATTTGGGTGGTGCCTATTATGATGATGACGATGATGAATTTTTCTTTTCCTCCTCTCTTGATTGACTCAGTGCCCTGAGATTTGCATCCCCAGTGCAGTCAGTTGAATAGGCTGCAGCTCCAGGACAGCCAGGCGGGGTCTGATCTGACCCATACCCTACTACTGTTGTCTTCCAGGTGTGTGACCCCCTCCCAGAGGAGGTTCAGTCTTGTGCTGAGGAGCTGAGACCCAGAGGTGAAATGCTGCTATCATTAATTTCCTCTTTCAGATGAGGAAATACTTGCTGGATGGTGGGGTGCCACCTGTGAGCAGTGACAAATAGCCTTTCTGTGGCTTGCTTACACACTGACTGGTATTTCCTCAGTGAAAAGGAGTGAGCTTTCTTGTGCAGTTGGTTCCTTTGAAGCAGTTTTATTTGCTGTGGGTTATTGTGATGCTACTAGTGAATGTACGTACAGCTCTTTGAAGACACAAAGTGCGACTGAAGTGCAAACTGTGATTAACTTCGTAAGATGCAGCTGGCATTTCCTGCCCTCTGGGAGGTGAGCTCAGCCGTTTGGACTGCTCGTTAGATTTGAGCAGCAGCAAAGCAGCCATGTATGACTTGGTCACATAGCGGTCAGGGTTAGTGTTCCCCTGCTTGAAGTTGCAGGCCCAGCGGGTTTCCTTGGTTAGCATACAGCAACTTGCAGTGACTTCAGAATGGATGCCCTGGTAGTTGTGGGTTACTTCCCTGGTCACTGGCATTTGCAGAATCCTCCTTGGTCTTTCCATTTGGAGGCATTTTCCTGGAGAGCGGTGTTGCTGGAAGTGCGTGAGGCGAAGTCTTCTAAATCCACTGGAATTTCCCCTGGGTCTCCGGTGTCCATCTCGCCTAATTGGGTCTGAAGAAGGTCTGGAAGCTATTGCAGGCAGCTCCTCCTCCTCGGTGTGCTGCAGTCCTTGCACAAGATGTTTACAGGCCCTGTCAGATCACTACATGAGGGAATCTAATCTGTCTGCCGCTCCCCTTCTGAAGAACAGCACATCAAAGACATGACAGTGTGTTTGATGTGTCTGCTTGCCTCACTGAGTGCATGTAATGGATTAGCAGCAGCTGGAGGAGGAGTCTCCTGGCTCCCAACAGTTACACAAAAACAAGTCTCTTGGGGATCTTCGGTTTGTGTCTGCCACGCAGAAGACTGGTTTCGGGCACAGCAGAGCCTGAGCACCCCTCCTGTGGCAGCGAGACGGGGCTCTGTCCTCTCTCTCTCACCGCTGCCCATCTGGCAGCTTCAGAGAGCGCTCTGGTCCTGCCCCTCTTCATCCCCTGCTCAAAGGCCATAGAAGGCCAGGGTCACTTCTTAATCCTCAGTTCCTCTCTGTTGCTGCGTTTAGCAAAGGAGCACCCTTGTCAGGTTGAGCAGACAGGGAGCCTTCTCCCGCTTTTCTCTGTGAAGGGCTGCTTCTCATCTTCCGATAGCGGTGGTCATTCTTTCTCTCTCTCTCTCAGAGAACACTTCCTTGCAGTCATCGTCTCTTGGTGGGGCTTATGTGCCTTTTGGGCCTTCCCTCCCACTGATTTCTCTGGCCATGCTGGCTCAGGGCTCCTCCCCGCCTTGCAGGCTCTCACACCTGCTTCCCTCCTTGGATAGGGAAGGTAGGAACCTCGTCGGAGCTTTGGAACGTCCCTATCGTGGCTTCTGCCTGGGTTTCAGATGTGCTGGTCTTGCCATGATGCTATCCCTGCAGCAGATGGGCTCACCAGGTCACTGCATTGCTTAGTAGGATCCTGTGTTCCTGCAAGAGGCCTCCTACGCAGGTCTTACATGCAGGCTCGGAAACCCAGCTCTGGCTAGCTGTTCTGCAGAAGTTCATGCAGCCTGCCTCTAACCCAGGTTCTAGGGGCTCCAGCAGACACCATCCACGTGTCCTCAAGCACCAGCAATTCATGACGATCTTCTGAAGAGATTGGGTGGTAGCTCCAAGAGTGGCTTGTAAGGATTGCCCCTTGTCCAAAGCTCCTAAAGGAAACTTTTTACCACCATCGCATTCACAGAAGCTCCTTGCAACCTCTGGCTCTGTCAGTGTACACAGACCATAGCTAAGAAGGCCAGAGACAGGACGCCCAGACACTCCTCTGAATGTCCTCAGAAGAGCAGCTTGGTGGTTCCAGCTTCCATCCCAGTGCTGAAGTCCCCAGCCCAGCTATGCCTGGGTGGGTTGTGAAAGGGCTACTTTGCTTACTTGGTCCTGCGCCCTGGCACTGTCCCCTCCTTGGCAGCCTGCCCCATCACCCACAGCACAGAGTTGTCTGCATGGCTCTCAGAAGTGATGAGAAGTTTCATAGTTTCTAGGGTCAGAAGGGACCTGAACAGATCATCAAGTCTGACCCCCTGACTTGGTGGGGGTGAAGTGGGAATGTATTGCTAGAGTTCCTGCACAACTCGTGGCTGATTGAGCTGTGGACTCTGTTATAGGTACTGTTTGTGACTGTCACGTGACTTCCTCCATTCCCACTGTGCAGGCTTTGCTTCTGGCTGGGACAGCGTCTGATGAAGTGAGCTTCAGTGTGTTTGGTTTCTATAAGGTGCAAATCTACCTTGCCTTCCACTGGGTGCTATGAGCCATCAAGGGAATTACAAGTCCTCAAATGCCTGTCAGGACTGTAACAGTGCC